GTTGATGTCATTTTTAATAGTATGATATCGACTTCAGGGTAACATTTCAATTTTAGATTTAACCAGCTATAAAAATCAAAAGTTTTGCATACTGTAAAAATTGGATATATATATAGGCATAAAAGTGTGGATTGCTAAGAATACTTTTATTGCATTTGATGAAAATATATTCTAGTAACTGGTAAATGAATAAGATTTATGGTCAACTTTCCCCCATTTTTCAATCAAATACATGTATAAATATTTTTTTTTTTTATTTTTGCATCAAGAAAATGAAGTGTAGGCTACAGCCTTTTTGCCTATATGGAATATACACCATTGGGAAAGCGAACGCGATTTTTCTTTATCACTACTACGATGTCTTTCAAGATTTTCTGTGTACACTAAAAAGGCATACATGAACTAAGTAATTTTACACTGTAATACATGTACGTACTCATTTAGGCTGTACGAGTTTTTTCAAAGTCCTTAAGGTGTATAGAGAGTGCATTTTTTTTGTTAAATAATTAATTTTTTTATCATTATTAAATACTTTCATATCTTTTTTCTCTATGGCCATTACATCATGTATTGAAACTTGTGTATTGATTGGTTATGTATCTTGCGAGACCCGAGCGGTTTCTTTATCAATAATTATCGAATATATAATTATTTTGCCCATGCATAGCAAGATTGAAAGATTGACACTGAATGTTGTAATAAAATAAACAACATAGCCATAGGACCCTGGGCACGTGCCCCCCCCCCCCCATTCCCCTTATATTTATTACCGATGTAATTTACTATAGAAAACATAGCAACTGTGTCCTTATGTCCTTTCAAAAATAACGTCTAATAACCGTGATAACCCCTTTTCTTTGGGGGGGGGGGGGGGGGCTTTACAGTGATTTTTTAAATTTTATTATTTCCTACGGGCCTGAACAAAGAGAAATCACATTTTTTTTTTCAAGCATGTATATTTCAGCCATCCGTACATGTACTTATGGGGCTGTCTCTTGGTTTCACAAACTTGGTCACTGGTCACTTTTTTTTTTACACCTTGTCACAAACTATATATTTACTTTGAAACCCGTATTACTAATTATTATAAATCGCTAATCACTTGTTTTATTGCACACTTGAAACCCGTATTAGTCACTTGTCACTTTCTAATACCTTGTTACAAACTATATCCTCTTTGAAACCCGTAGTTCTATTTATCATTAATCGGTAGTCACTTGTTTAATTGTACACTAATAATTCTCATCGACTCCTTCCCCCTACTTTTGCTCTTTGAATCCGATTAACAATACTTAATTATTATATGACATCGAACATGTAAACAAAGTAGATAATACGATATAGATATTCTTAATATAAATCTATCATAATATTTAAGAAGTTATAATATAAATTTAAGCATATTTTGCAGACCAAAAACCCATTATTTTTTCTAATTTCGTTCTGATATATATAGCACTCTTTCTTGCATTGTAATATAATCAAATGACCTCATGGTTTGAATATATTCAATGATTTCTTGAAGGTCAAAACTTAGCAAAGGGGAGTAATTGAATCTTAAACCGTCTTTTGATTGGTTACTTTGGATCTTGAATCTCGAAACTCGAATTTCGAAACTCGAATTTCGAATCTCGAATTTCGAAACTCGAATCTCGAATGAGCCTTCTGGGCTTTCTTACTACATTGCAATTGTGATGGATACCTAGATCAACATTTCATATTCATATATATCATTTCAAGGTCATTATTTTTTTTATCACTACAGCCTAATTAAGCAGACTTAAATAAGGATGAAAATTACAAAAAAAAAAAAATAAAAAAATAAAAAAAAAAAAAAATAAAAAAAATAAAAAAATAAATAAATAAATAAATTTAATTACACCTTTGTAAAATCACTAAATCTAGAAACTTTCTTTGAATTTCGTTTAGAAACACATGCATATGGTCCACGTATTGCAGTCCTTTTTTAAAGGACAGCAACTTGTTGAAATATATATGTTATACATGTACAGCTACAAACAAATCCGAGGAAAATTTCTTATTAGAAAAATATTAACCTCATACCTAATAATTCACATGAGTTCTAAAGTATGGGGTTATATTTTTTTTAAAATATGAAAAATATGTAGTGTCAAGTGCCTGTGGTATATATGTATCTTTGACGAGCGCATAGTATCGTTTTTGAAAGGGGCAGCAAGAAAAAACAACAACAAAGAACGGTAGATTGTCCAAACTCCAAAATTCTTTTTTGTGAAAAGGGGGGGGGGGCTATATTCGGCACTCGGGGAGGAAAGAATTTGCATGATGACATGATAGCTTATTAAGGACCATTGGGGAGGGGGGGGGGGGTAACTGCACGGTATACGTAACGGCCGGGGTCTATGATCTCGTCTAGGAAATCTGGTAAACTGCTGGACATGATTGTTAGTCCATCTCAAAAAAAAAAAAAAAAAAAAAAAAAAAAAAAAAAAAAAAATACATAACGATTAGAACGGATTTGGCTTTTTTTAAATTAGATTTGATTGATTTTCCCTAAGTTTTTTTTTCGCTTACCTGTTTTCAGATATACTCTACATTTTCAAAACTAGAAAACTTAAATTTAATTGTTCTCTCTCTATCTCTCTATAACAAAATCGATATGTTATCATGCGGCACATGTAATATATTTTTTCTCTTCGGGTATTCGTATTGTTTTGCTGCTTCTTTGGAAATAAATACATGTATATCAAAGGTCTATGTAGGCCTATAAGTAACATGTATTAAAAATTAGTTTTCGTATTCATGATAATGCACGTACATTATTTCTATGATAAAATAAAACTTACGAGTTTTATATGTTTTTCTTAAACTGGTTGCAAATTTCGTCGATTTATGTACATGTTTTTTTCGTAATGAAAGTAATTACATATATAATATATGCATACAGTATCGTAATTTTTACAAGCAACTAAGACCGCATTGTCAAACTAACCGGTCAAAGACAGTGCACGCACCTGCTACAGGAATAGTTTTCAGCTCAACCTTTTATATTTTTAAGAAGCTACATAATCTTTATATACACTCCCATTTATTATATTTTTTAATTTACAATGCTGCAATTAATGACATAAGAGTTTTAACTATTTTTAATACTAGTAATCAAATAAACGTTTTCATAGATTTACTTCATCATAAATCATAATAGTTTTTTTTCCATTTTTAAAGCAAATTCTTTTGTCAGAGAATAAAGCATACTCATTCACTGCTCTCTCTCTCTCTCTTTCAGCTAAACCCATTAAATTTTCCAAAAAGTGTATTTTTTGACACCTTTTGCAAAAGAATTCGCTACTCCGAATTAATCGAAATTGATATTCTATTTTGGAAAAACATGGGTGCTTGAAGCTGCCGTTGCAGGTTATCTACCTGTTCATATTATCTATATACATGTTTATTGTAGTTCTTTGAAGCCTGGAGTTTTCTCTTCTATAGAGTGCCCTGCGACAGAATAATATCGTAGGTTACTGGATCAATCTATTGATGTAACGTCATCAAAACAACAAATGACGTCGTTATTCCATGTTATGATGCAGAAAAACATGAGTGAAACGGAAGGCGAACACAGAAAAGACGTTTAAAGGTTATCTTATTGTTTTTTTTATATCGCTAAGACCACTTATATCATTAAAAACAATTTGAGTTTTAAGCAGAGTTTTGTCACTCTGCTGGGTTGAGTTTCCTTAGCGTTCTTCTTGACACACTTTTTTGAGTCGAAACTCAGGGGAGTAAAATAAAGTTTACTCTACTCAGATTTGAGTTGGGGCCAGGTGACATAGAAGTGTGACCGGTAAACCCCGCCGTGCGCTCCTTGTCTTAAACGAAATTTCTTAAATCCTTGTAACTTCAACTATTTTGTCAATTTAGATTGTTTTGTTCTAGGTGCAGAACTGTAGCGTTATGGTTTTATATTTTTGTCTTTAACCATAACCTTAGAGATCCCGTAATGCAAACAGTATGCAATTTATCGCATAATATTTTCTGGGCATGGTTAAGGATGTAATTCTCCACTTTCCAGCAATGGGCAATCAACTACGTTTATTCCCTAATTCTAAACATATTATTATCCATCTCCTCACCCTTTATAGTTCTTTCTACAGACCAATAAACTCGCTTGTTTTGAATTTTTCTGCCATCCGACCAAAAGATCAAAACAAGAGTTTACTGGTCTGTATTGACGACTGTAAAGGGTTATAATTAGGAGGTAGATTAAACATACAAGATGGTTAAAATTATGACTAGAATTATATAGTAAAAGGCAGTTTACTGACCGTTGCTACGAACTGGAGGAATTCTCCCCAGTAGTGCGCCGAAAATTTTCGGCGTAAACTGCGCTGTAAATTGCACCATATTTGCATTACAGGATCTTTAGTGTTCTTATCTAAGACTTATTTATATGTACAATAACGCTGCAGTTTTGCAGCAAGTCCTATTTGTTCTTTGAACATACCCTATCGAATCAACTGGGAGACGTTAACTAAGGAAATTCATGAATAGAAAAAAGATGAAGTCTTCATATTTATTTAAAAATTTATAGGTCATGCAAAAAGGTATGCAAAAATACTTTCTAAAATATAAAAATAAACACAATGTTGGGTCTCGTCTATCGCCGTAAGGTAAGAATGTACAAATGTCCCTTGACGTTTCTATTTGGCGCCCATTTTCAGTCTGCAACTACGCAGAATATAGATACACTGTATAACATTTGGACATAGTTTAAATTGTTTTTATTTAATGACCCAAACAATTCAATTAGATGCGGAATTAGTGAGTAAAGTTCGGTTGATAATATTCGATTATTCAAGATGTTTTAGCAGTTGTTACATAACTTTTGGACCACCGCTCGTGTAAAGGTAAAAAAAGTCTGCTAAAACAGAACATAATTAGTAACCATAGGAATTCCAACAGATTGTTGGAAAACTACGTCTGTAGAGTCTTTTACTAATTCTCTTTTAGAAAGATCTTACCATTCATCCAAATAGGAAACTGTGTCCCACAATGGTTTTGCCTGACACAGAATGTAGGCATTTTTAACGGTTGTCCTTGAGATGTGACTTTATACCAAGTTTCTTTTAAAGTGTTGTCACAATGAAGAAGTGTTTTGCCGGAACATGAGAGAGACCGATCTCCGTTCACTTGCATCAAAACACTATTTCCAGGTTCGCATGGATCTGTAAGGATAAGGTTTAGCATAGTGGTCATGAGAAATTTTCATAAAATCATTTCTGTGGTATAAAATTAACAATTTAAAATAAAATTAAAAAATATGATTAAAACTAGGTTGCAATAATATTATTTCATGCATCTGCATATGTATATGTAATTAGTAAGTAGCATGGAAACATGTTTATATATAGCACACTCAACAGCACTTGTTTTTAACACCATCTTAGATCTAGGGCATAGAGAAAAAATCATAACCGAAATGTATAGACAACCATTTTTAGAGCATTGCATATGTAATCCCCAGCGACAAGTTAAACCTGGTACATGTAAGGTAAGATTTGTTTTTTTTTTTATTTGAAAGGTCTTTATATCATATTTTTAAGTCACAGTCGAAGGAGTAAAGTCTTTCAACCTTGTTTAAAATTTTAGACTTAACTTCAATGTTAATCATACCAAATTAGATTACCGTTCTTTTCTTCTTCCTAAAAAATTTGCCTTGTGTAAATTTAAATCAATTACATGAAAAGCCGTGCAAGACCATGAATGTTGGTAAATTATACTTACTTGGTTTAGCACAAGGTGTATTGTTTCCTGAAGAAAAATAAAAACAATTCTGAAGAAACCTTTAATCAAATCGACTCAAGAATACCAATTTTTGCATAATAAAAACAATTCATATAAACGTAAAAATTACCGAAGCAGTATCCAGTAAAACAAGTTGGTAGTCTTTGTAGATTATAGACAAAATCGCCATCGGCACATTTCTTAATTTGAATGTTGATTTTTTTGTCACAATAAGATGAAAGACCAGACATACAAGCCGTTCTATTCACAATACTCTTGGAAACTGTTGGATGTGAACCTAGATTCAAATTATCAAATAAAAAAAGAGTATTTAAACCAATAAACATTTTCAATGGTCTGTCAAATTCATTCATTTTTTAATGTGTAAAACCCAGTTAGTCTTATATTTAACAGTAGATGGTTCATTTTTCCAATGAAATATGGAGATAACGAACAGAATTCAAGCTCAAATGCCATTTAAACAATACAAATCGGGAGCAGAGCAAACACGGACCTCAGCATATAGAGATGGGATCAGGTGCCATGGAGGAATGAGCATCCCCTGCCGACCGGTCACACCCGCCCTGTGCTCCTTGTCATGATCGGGAAATAACGGAAAAATCCGTCGACAATTAAGTGTCTAAATAATGGCCAATCAATAAGAATGAAAAATGTCAGTCAGCATTTGGCTTAATGATAGATTGTATTTGCTGACAAGGTCATTGTATCGACCATAGAACTTACGAAATGATGACTTTAAACGAGACTGTTGATATTCTTGTGTCATCAACTTGTTTGTCAATAACTTGCCTCGTTTAAGAAATTGTTCATACGTAGAGCATTTTCTTGCGTATCGAATCAACTGAGAGATATACACCCCATAAGCAGGTGATAATGGTATATTGCTTCGTAAGTAAGGAAAGTTAACGATTGCAAAGTTAAAGTCATCACGTTTATCATAAAGCTTGGTTGTTAGACTACCATTAATGTCTTTTTTAGTAAAATATCCAAATATGAAACAGATATGTCAGACTCTGTGGTATCTTTTATTTCAAGTTCACTGGGAAATATCGTGTCGACATATGAATGGAAATTACTTTTGTTAATAGATAATACGTCGTCGATATATCTAAATATCGAGTTGAAGGCCAAAGCAAGAGATTTCTTTTTTTCATGTATAAGATTTTGAATAAATTCTGCTTCATATGAATACAAAAATAGGTCTGCTAACAACGGGGCACAATTGGTGCCCATGGAAATTCCAACAGATTGTTGGAAGACCTGGTCTCCAAACACCACATAGATATTGTCAATCAGAAACTCAAGCATCTTTTTAATATCAACTTTAGAGTACTTGTGTATACAATTAAAATGTTTTTAAAAAAAATAATTTTGCAAATGACCAATGAAAGGGTAAGTAAATTTACGAGTTCCATTTTTTTTTTCCATTCGATGATATCAAAAATCCTGGACTTTAATTTATCGTGGGGAATGGTAGTATACAGAGTTGAAAAGTCGTAAGTTTTTATGTTATTGATTTTAGTAAAACTTTTGATTTCAAATTTTCCAAAGTTCCTGGGAATTTTTAAGTATCCACATCTGATTTACACCACTTCTCGAATATATTGCACAATATTCTTGAAGTTTCTCCTTCACTGCTGTTAATATTTTAGTGAGGAGTAAAGAAAGAAGCTTGGTAGAACATTTACTGGAACCCGCTATATATCTTTGTTTGTAAGAATTATTATGAAGTTTCGGAATCCAATATAAATATGGTAATTCAAATTCTTTTTGGTTGTTGGTAATATTAAAAATATTAAAAACTGACATGATTTTGTAAAATTTCCTCCTTAGAAAGGGATCAAGAGATATGAGTCTACGTTGCATTGCCACTTGTAGAATGAAAAATAATGGATCACATTTTTTGCGCGAACAGTACGAAAGGCCAGAAGGCTTATTCAAAATTTGAGTTTCGAAATGAAAAATTCAAATTTCAATATTTGAATTTCGAGACTCAAATGTAATGAAAAGGCTGAAGATACCGAACAGTGATCGATCTCAAAAAATCTATAAACAATAAAAACTATGAAGAGGGCATAAACATGGACCCCTGGAAATTCCAGACATGGGGTCAGGTACCTAGGAGGAGTAAGCATCCCCTGTCGACCGGTCACACCCGCCGTGAGCCATGAGCCCTGTGTACTGATCAGGTAGACGGAAAATTTCGAAGTCAAATTCGGTATAAAACAAATACCTTGCAATTGATATAAAACAAGTCAGCCAAAATAACACCCAATGAAAGGTTGTATCTGCTATGAAAGTAACTATAGGGACCACATAATTTATTAAATGCTGACTTTAAACAAGGTTGTTAAAATTCCTGTAGCATCTAGTTATCTGTCAGTAGCCTGTCTCGGTTAAAAAACTGATTGTTCTGGAGTATACTTTTTAGTATCTAATAAGATGGGAGATGTTAACACCATATGCTGGTGATAGCGGAATATTTCTACATGTTAAAAACAAAAAGTTGACGATGGAAGAGTAAAAACATTTCGTATGTAATACAGTTTAGTTGTTTTAGTTTGCTCTTATCGTCTATAGTCAGTAAAACATCCAAATATAAAACAGATATGACAGACTGTTTGGTGTCTTTAAACTGAAGTTCACTGGGATATATCGAATCGACATATGGATGAAAGTAATTCTTGTTAATTGAGAATACATCATCGATATATCTGAATGTCTAGTTGACGGCCACAGTAAGTGTTTTTCTTCTCATGTAGAAGTTTGTGAATTTCATAGGAACATATGATCAGATCAGCTAATAAAGGAGATTAAGTTTCCATCGAAATTTTAACAGTTTGTTGGAAGTCCTGGTCTTTGAATACTACATAAATGTTGTCATTGAGGAAATCCGACATTCTTTTAATATCAACATCAGTGTACTTGTGTATAAAATCAGAGTATTCTTTAACGAAGTGATTTTGTAAATGACCAATCAGAAAATAGCAAAATTGATTTTGAAGAATTTTATCTTAAAAAAAAAAAGACCTCCGAGTATAAGATGGATTTTAGGGTTCTCCATCATTTCAAATTTAACTGTTGCGCAAGAGGTACGCGAAATGTTGATATTCACGTTCTTTTCGCTACCGAATTCACGAAGTAACCATAAATAATATAAAATATTTGGAAAATTGAAATATAAATTTAGTGATAAATAGAAAGTCACCACTGAATAAACTGAAAAACACAGGACTCTCCTGGATCACTAAATTAATACAAAAGTTTCATAACATTTTTGGAAAATTGAAAGATATATTTAATGAGAATGAAAAACAATTAATGGTATCGAAGTTTACATAGTGTAAAAGAGAAATTAAAACGTTTCCAGCATATGAGTATTCTGTTACTCGCCCCCCCCCCCCTTCCAACACATCAACCTTCAAACGTATCTATTAATAAACATATATTAGCTAGAAAATTATGAAAAATATTAACACCAGTAAAAAGAAGTTTTCAGTGTAAGATCTGAATTATTTAACCAATTTTCTTTACAAAATGTGAATTACACATGTACACCTACAGTGTCAGGACAGAGGAATTTCTGGAATGTGATACGCAATTATCTTTCACCTGTATATTTGTAATTATTGGTCTTAGTTGATTTACGTGTATGTATTTTAAAATCTGTGAATTAAAAGTACATTAACTGTTTGGAGGTTTATTTTTAAGAGTATAAATTCAAATTTTTATCCTCATGACCGACGACGATTTTACTGTGGCGCTAATATTTTATCGTGGCGGAACTATGGTGCTGATTTTTATAACTGTGGCGCTAAAGAATTAATCTGTGGCATGGAGAAACCTAGATTTCTAGAAGTAGAATTAAAACCAAATTCTTGTAAGATAATAATGAGCCTTGCAAACAAAGACGATATTGTTGAAAGCCCCGTCGGCTGAAACCATAAAATATTGTTTAAACCGTCTTTCTTATCTAATTTATCAATCAGATGGGGGTTTAAAAATAGATAACTCCCCTTTATCAAGTTTTGATGATCAAAAATCTGCTGATCGGAAGGTCGTGTGTTCGAATCACGGCCGCGACTGACCTAAGTCGATAAAAAATAGATAGCAACTGTTCCTACTTTGAAGTGAAAGTTGCGGGTCCTTAGATGAGACCATAATAACCGAGGCCCGTGTCACGGTAAAGGTCTAAATTTGAAGCCCTTCACCGGTATATGATGACGTCTCTATATGAGTGAAAAATTCTCGAACGGGACGTAAAACAAGATACAATCAATCAATCAAACAATCAGTCAAAAATCGTTTTATATTTTTTATAAAAACAAGTAATTTCATTGATAAAATTGCAAGAAAGAATATCAAGCTAGCAGAACGAAATTAAACTGATTTGAGAGTAAATTGAGAAAATTTTGCATAAATTCTTATTTTTGCTTGTTAAACAAAACGAAATATAGTACGTGTACATAAATTAACGCATTCAAATTTTAGCACAATCACTGGAAATTAAGCGGTTGGCGTAATCATGAATTAGAGCTACACATGTCTGCGCCTTGTATTGTATTTACAGATAATTTATCAACGGTATTCTTGAATTAGTGCATTGTCTTCCCCTCTTAAGCAGCTAAAATATGAAGCCCGCTTTTTTTGAGTACACATACAGTATATTTGATATGGAATAAATAAACTTGAATCTGCACTATATAACATTATTTAAAATTAATTCAGGTGTTCTAAACAATACATTAGACCACGATAGAGTAATTGTAAACTAACTGTATGTATTCTGTGTAATAATAATCTATAATATAATTCTGAATGAAAAGTCACATACCCTATGTAAAAAGTTGAAAAGATAATTTTAAAACCTATTTTTGTACACTTAAATTGCTTTTTACGGGTCTGAACAAAGAAAAATCATTATTTTATCAAGCATATATGTTTCAGACACCAGTTTTCAGGGACTTCATAAACTAGGTCACTTGCCATTTTGTAACCTTTTTTATCAGTATAATCACTAATCTTTTGCTATATTGTACGCGTGTAATTCGTGCTTAATTTGACACATATTACCAACTACAAAACGATGGTATTTGTCTCTTAACAAAATATTTCAAAGAAACCCACTAACAAAAGTTCTGCTGATATTAAACCTCCTACCCCAACACCGTAACCAAATAAGAAAATATATAGACATTTTACCAGCATATGTTTCACAGAACAAACTTTACATTTTATAATTTCCTGTCTCCTTTTCTCTAAAAACACATTCATGAATGACACGTAAGGGTAGCAATTGTTGGAATAATAAAACGTGGGGTCAGTAGATTTTTATCAGTAAAATCGGTGAAACATGGCTAAATAGCTGTTTCCTTATGAATTGAATGACTGAGACCTTATTTTGGAATTCAGAGAGGTAATAAAAAAATGATGATTGTATTTAACTGGAAAATAACTCTGAAGATCATCATTAATATTATTCTTGTAAAATGTGTAAAAGATTTACGTGGTTCATCTGTCAGTTTATCTGTTTGTCTGTAATGCTACTTCTACCTAAGTTATAGTCCATTTTCAATGTAAATCTACAAAACAAGATTAGACTCAGATACATTATACCGTATGTTCGTTTATAAATACTATGAAAGGTGTTGTCATGGTTACTATAAAAATGTAAAATTATTTTAAATTGCTACCTTTTTCATAGTTTTGGTCTGATTGAAAAAAAAAATGTACAAGTGGAATATATACCATGAAATATAATTAAAGAGAAAACTTTGTGATATATTAAATGAAAAATCTAAATGAACAAAAAAAAGTTCCGAAGTAAAAGTTTTTGCAGTATTTTGAAATTTTATTCAAACCTACTTCAAATAATCAATGCTAGACTTTTTCGTAAAAATGTGAGTGTGAATGATGCATATAGTTGAAATTTAACTTTGCTTTGTAATAAAAAATTCAATAGGACATGTCTTTATACCTTTCACCGATGCAGATTTAAGATTTTTGTATAATCGGTAATGACCAATATTTGCCATCAAAATCAAACTTTGACAGAGAAATATATATTCTAAAGCAGGGGCATAGTTTGTAAACTTTAAAGCATTGAATATTTTCATCAGCTATGACACTATATATTGGATATGACTTAAGGAAAATGACGAGTAAATTCAAAATTTCCATGATTTATACATAAAAAAAGTTTATATTACGCCGATATTTTGAGTAAAAATCACCGAACACAGGTCTGTTCCAACTCAATGTTTTGATATTATGTGAAGAATGATAGTATCAATAAAATATGTGAATATTGTTCTGGAGCTTGTCTGCTATCTATATATTATATAGTTATAATTGATTTTTTTTTTTCATTTTTCCTCTTTCTGAAAAATATGCATATACCGCATATAGGTCGTTGTTAAAACTAACAATTTGTTTCATTTAATTCTATTTTCATACAGATTCTTACTGATGAATTTTTTAAAGTAAAAAAATCAGTTTTGATTCTTGGTTGAGGCAATACATACATGTATTAATGCCTTTCTTATGTTCATCATTTTCAAATTCTACATCAAAATGTATTTTATCTATATTTTTGTACGTATTTTGGATATTGGATAGAAAAAGATAATGACTTCAATATTCAAAATAAGAAATCAAGATAATAGAGATACTGACCATTAAGCCATACTGGGTATGTTGTTCCACAACGATTTAATCCTACAAGCCCACTAAACAGTTTTCTTGGTCTTTTGTCATCTTCATGCAAAACCTTGTACCAGCCGCTATGGATAAATCTATCGCATACTTCTCTCCCCCTTGTTTTGCTACAAGAGGAGCCTCTTAGGCCTGCACTATGTAAATATTCAAAATTCCCCGCTACACAAGGGTCGTCACCTTTATTTAAGACAGAAAGAACACTGCAGCATAAAAATAATTTCATAAACAATATAACCATTTAAAGAAAGATGTATTCATAAAAAAACTTACCTTTTGTTATAAATATTAAATTCAGAAAAATATGAAATTGAAGAATATTTGATATCCACATTTTCTTTCTGCAGTGCTACATTCTAAATGTGATCTGTTTATAACTTTATTAACGCCCATTCCGGATCTAATAATAAAATGGGATGTTCTTATCACTGAATATTGATCGCATTATTCTGTTTCTATGCGGACTTTGGAGTAAAAATTTACAATAGTCGATACCGATTGGACATTTTCTTTTACCTGGGTTAAAAATCAAAGACATAACGATTGAGCATTGATTCTTAATTCTGATATATATATATATATATATATATATATATATATATATATATATATATATATATATATATATATATATATATATATATATATATATATATATATATATATATCGATTCTTAATACTTTTGAAGAAAGATAGCGGCTGTCAATAAAAATGAGTCTTATCTTTGGCCAATGAAAATTTAAGATGCTCAATATATTTTAGAGATTTTCATCTAATTTACTGTATGCGTATCCGAAAGCACTATGGAGGCATTTGTATTCGCAACTCTGTTCTTTTTTATATCAGGTCTTTCATTTCATGTCTTGTTTGTCATATAAATATATATTTAATCTATAAGCAGTTAATTTTAATTTCACTAAATGTATTTCAGTCAAAGCAGAAGATGTCGATCCTTGTACTATAAAGCAACCTTTGCCATTCAGAGACATACGTCTGGCGAAATACATTAAACCGAGGGGGGTACAACCTATTTGTGATAGAAATGTTATAAAAATATCCCCAGGAGACTGGTATCGAAGCCAGGAAGAAATGTATAATCGTCCAACCGCCAACCATGCATGTGGTACAAACAATGGAATATGGTTAAACGGTAAGAAATTTTAACAGTTCCATACCTAGCTAAAGAAAGGCAAATAAGGTAGCTATTTTGAGTATAATGTTTTATTTTTATTTGTTCAATTACTTTCACCATACAATTTTATTGCAAAGCGTGACTTTTTACGTCTATAGAATAAGTTAAATCACTTAGATTTAACTTCGTATAGGCCAGTCAATTTAGTGAGAATGTGGGCCAAACTAATTGCTAAAATTAGGTAAATTCCTGTGATGTTTCGCTTGAAGAGACAAGAAAAATAACTGTTTTTCTTGAAAGCAACATCTGATTTAAACCTTTTTCATTTAACATAATAGATGTTTATTTTAAATCAAAAATATATAAAATTGAAATACATATTTTCAATATAACTTTATAATTTTGCTAATCTGGAAATGTTAAATTATTTTTCATAGAACATAAATGCAGAAGTTTAAAAAGATTAAAAATAAATAAATTTCGATTTAGTATGCATGGACCATTTCATTTAGCACATAGATACTAAATATAATTAAAAACAGATTTTATAGACATTATCTTTCCATAACATCTATCCTTAGGGTAATTCTTATTTAAACGAGTCTAGGAAATGCAACTTACTTTCTGATGAGTAATTTTAATTTATTTTTTAATTCACTTTTTTAGCAAATATGCGACATCATAGTTGTGTTTTCTTTACTCAAGAAATGTTAATTGATTTTTTCCATGCTTATATCTTTTTTAAACTATTTCCTGTGCAATATTGAGGCAAGCTTCACTTTTACTTCTCAATATTTTTTCTGTTATTCCCCAAAATGAAGGGCTTTAGTTCGATATAAAATTTAAAATATTGATAAAAAGATGAAGATACAAACAGTGATTGATCTAAAAATATAAACAGTACACATATGTAAAGGGGGAATAAAACATGGACCCTTTAGAAAATTCAGGTGTCTAGGATGAGTAAGCATAGCCTGATGACCGGTCATACCCACTGTGTGCACTATGAATTGTTTAAGGTTACATTGCATAGTCAAATCTAGTATAAAACAGAGGCCTAACATTTAGTATGAAAAAGTTCAGCCAAAATACCACCCTAAAACGATCCTTGATCTAGTTTGACTCGTCAACAGGGGATCCTGATAGGCACCTGATCCTACATGTACCTCTAGAATCAGAAGTCCGTAGTTTATGCCCTCATTACTGATTTGTATTGCCTATGGATTTTTTGAGATCGATCACTATTCGTTATCTTCACCTTTTACATTACAAATAAGGTCATTGTAACGACCAATTAAGTTACGAAATGCTGACATTTAACGAGGTTTGTTGAATCCCCGTAACATCAACTTATTAGTGAGTAGCATGCCTTGCTTTAAAAATGCAAGCACTTGATTAGCGAATGAGTTGTTAGACATAAACACCATAACCAGGTGAGAGTTGAATTTTACTACTTAATTAAGAAAAGTTAATGATGAAAAAGCTGAAGTCATCTCTTTTTCATACAAGTGATGTATGTTTATGTAATAGGGTTCGTTGAATAAAACCATCGATCCATGGCTCATTGTTGTATTTATTATTCAAAAGTAGTAATAATAACAGTACATCCTGCTTATAACAATAACAATCATTAGACAAGATAAAAATGTACATTTAACTCAGATATAGTATGTCATCATTATAATATGTCTCATGCTTTAAAGTTCATATTCTCTTTGTATGAAGTTTATATAAAAATAATTATCACTTCTTTATAACAAATCAATTTATCATAAAATAATTTCTTTGTTAATTTATCATTTAAAAATAAAAGAAAATCAGAATAATTATCATAATCATTATCTGGTATTAAATAATTCTGAATCAAATAATCTTACGTGATTTCATACTAAACATTTACACAAATACAATTGCATGCATTGAACAGAATACACATGGAATTCAAATCAACACAAAATATTGACATGCATGACAAATACTCAAAATTAAGATATACCATCGTCTTCAACTTCCCTCAATATAATTTATTTTCTCCATCCATGAGTCTACTCTGCTTTGTTTTTTGCAAATATAACAACAAACTATTTGTCCTAAATGGGCATTTATTAGAATGCCAAACAAATTAATCAAATATGTACAAAAATTACACATGCCCATATTTGAATATATGCCTTATAAACTAAAAAGTCATCGACTATGCTGGCTGAGTAAAATTGCTTTACATTATAAACAGAATATATTAAAAGCCTACCAGTTCTGTTGTGAATTGTACTACACTACATGAGAGAATATAATAAAAAGTTATCAAGTATGCAATCTCAGAAAATCATGTTGTAAATCATTTTACAGATAAACAGAATATAATAAATGCCATCTACTATGCTGCCTCAGACAGTCATAGTGATGTAGATTGTTCTACACTAGAAAACAGAATATAATAAAAGGCCACTAACTTTGTCACCTAATACACAGAACATATACAGTTTCAATCATAACCATAAGGTAAGTCATTGTAATGTGTTGACACTGAGGTATATACTGCCAGAAATGCTGCCTCAGATAATCACTGTAGTTAGAAATGGAGTATTATACTCTCTGAAATGCTGCCTCAAAAAGACATTGCAGTTAACAGTAGATATACAATTTTTTCAGAAATGCTGCCAAAATCCTTCTGATATAACTTAACAAGAAACCACTAAATGATATAATATTTAGCTGCATCAGACAGTCTAAAGGAAAAAATATAAACTATTAAACAATGAATTAAAAAGTAATGTTGAAATGTCTATAATTGACCTGTAAGACAGATTTAACTGAAATAACATTTGAAGTACTGTGGTAACTGCATATTAGGCACACCTGATAGGTGTGGAACACCCTTAAATCTAAATTGTACTGGGTTGGTTAATCCTTGGATTATGATTTAAGAAATTGTCTCTAAATATGAGTTGGTTGTATTGTAAGGTCTGTCTCCACATATGTACATGCTACAAAACATGTTAATATGTGAGTAATTTAAGAGGAAAATCTATGGCATCTAGAAAAAGTTAAATGATCATGGTATGAGTGATACAAAATTAGTAAAGTCATTCAACAATTTTTTTTTAAACATTGATTATAAATACTACTAGTGTTACACTGTGCTGGTTTGGTATATATTCTTATGCGGTGTCTAACCCTGGAATATCTTACTGAAATGCATAATTTAAATTATTTTGAAGATGACTAACAACTACCATCAAAAAAAAAAAAAAATAAATAAAAAAAAATTGTATTGAACTACTGGATAAACTCAGTAGCTATCACATTGTGGAATAATTTTTATAGGTGCTGTAAAATTCCTGCAATATTTAATACGGCATTTCTTCCTAATTCCACACATGAAAACAATGTTACATATCACAGCATAATTTCCAGCAACATATGTAAACATCTATAATTTGCTATCAAAGAATATATATATACAAATTTTCATTTCAAGTTTAAATTGGAACAACTATTGTTGTATAAGAGCCTGAACATATATCATTAGAGATGAAATCATTAATAGATCACATTTTTTTAACTAACAGGAATGAGTGAGTTTTGCAGAATATCAAATAGGGATATAACAAGAAGGATTTGCAATCTTACCAAGTGAAAATCCTAAAGATTCACCAATGTTTCCATGTTCATTGGAAAGTTAATTTGAAGAAAATTTTTGATTGCATTTATAACATGGTGCTAAAACAAGCAGTTAATAGTAAACCCAGTATGTGTATATTAATGCACTAATTGATTTGACTCTATAGAAACATAGGAATACATGGATCTTTGTAAATTAATAGCTACAAATTAAAAATATGAGTGTATGCATATAATCATCAGGAATTACTAATAATAATCTGAATACTTGTATTAGATGTTCATGCATGTCACAGGTAACATGAAAGTAGTTGACTTTGAATTACAATTAATCTAAATAAAATATTCATCAAAACTTATTCCGAAGTAATAATTTAGAATAATTCTTAATTCTAAATGTAACATTCCCAGGAATGCTTAAAGTAAAGTTCTACAAGAGATGTGTAACAATGCTGGAATACACTTATCACCAACAAATAGGGGCATATGAGTCTTACAGTACCTACATCATGGGAGCGAGAAATGTACACAAACCATAAAGGATTGGTAAAAACACTCCCCTCTCAAGTTAAAATTGAGGTTTAAAACCCTTTCATATAGGAGCAAAAGAATGTTTTAAATCTATTTCCAGCAACATAACAGGAACACAATATACCACACCATATATAAATGTCAGGGAAAAAAACAACTATCTAGGAGCATAGATATTTATGTGAATAAATTATGTAACCAAACCATTATGCCTAATGACTGCCATGATAAACCAGTAATCATAGCCTGGAGAAATACCCCAACCATATACTGGGGCACAATAACAAGGCAATAATTATTGCTAAAGATTACCCCAACCATAAAGCAGCTAACAATAATGTAGTATTCCTAGAAAAAAAAATAAACTCCAACCGCATAGTTACAAATTAATAAACCAGTTATCCTAGCTAGAAAAACATTCTGAACTTATGTGGGCACAAAAATAAAGCAGTAATGCTAGCTAGAAATGAAACTCCAATCATATAATAAACTTCGACTCTACAGAAGCACAAGATCCTGCTAAAATAAAAATTTGACTATATACTATTGTAGGAGTACAGGATCCTGCTAAAATTTAACTCCGACCATATAGGAGAACAGGAACCTACATGTACTAAAATGAAACCTCGAAAATATATATAGGGGTAGTCGGGTAGAGGATCTTGCTTAAATTAAACCTCAACCATATAGGAGCGCAGGAACTTGTTCAATTTAAACAATGAGCAAATAGAAGTACAAGATCCTGCTAAAATTAAACCCTGCCATATAGGAGAACAGGATCCTGCTTAATAATGTAAAAATTAAATTAAAATTAGGATCCTGCTAAAATTAAACTCCGATCATATAGGAGTACAGGAACCTGCTAAAATTAAACCCCGACCATATAGGGGTGCAGGGTCCTGCTCAAATTATACTGCGACCATACAGGAGTACAGGATCCTGCTAAAATTAAACTCCGACCATATAGGAGTACAGGATCCTGCTAAATTAAACCCCGACCATATAGTGGTACAGGATCCTGCAAAAATTAAATTCCGACCATATAGGAAAACAGGATCCTGCTAAAATTAAACTCCGACCATATAGGAGTACAGGATCCTGCTAAAATTAAACCCCGACCATTTAGGGGTACAGGATCCCGACCAGATAGGAGTGCAGGATCCTGTTTAAATTGTTCATCGTGTTGATGTAGCTTTTTCATTGTTATTTTTAAATGTAGGTTAATAACAAATTCAATCAGCTCATGATAAATCTCGTCCACTGTTTCCCAAACACAAATCATTTGATACTGCACGGCTGATAAGAAATCCACATTTGGAAAGTCTGTTACGTAACTTGTGCATTGCTCGCACTTTTAGCCAGTGCTGCTCACCATACATGTACCTGTATCAAGGTTTAAAACATAAAACGATATGATGTCACTCGATCGTCTAAGGTAACTGAATCAAAGTTTTTCATCCACGTGCAGAAAAATATCACCAAATCATGTTTTTCTAAAATTCCATTCTATTATCATCGCAGCATGAGCTGAAAAGTCACGTAGCCACAAAACATTGGCATAACGTTAGTTCACGATCACAACATGTTTTTGTACGGATATATATTTACACAATGTTTGTAAACAATATACAAAAAATATTGAGCAGCGGACAACATTACAAGTCCAAGAAACGGTGGGAGGATGTAAATCAATTCAGATACAAAGACAAATCCAAATCAAAAAATTGTTTCCATCAGAATGCATGGTCTGGAGATAAACAAGATCAAATTACATATCTATAGAAGCAAGAATTAATTGCGGCACTGAAAATTCCGGAAAAATTCTCTAATAACAGTAGAATAACAGAAATGGTATAAATTACTTTATGTTGCACATAAATACATTATGTCAACACATAATACAATGGAACAACATATGAACATAAAACACATAAATTACCTTTAAAGTGGTCAAAAGGTCCGGATGCTTACAGTGTATATTACATAACATATATGTACCTGTGACAGTACTATTAAAATGCGAAAAAAAAGAGGCCCAAGGACCTTGACGGTTACCTGAGTATAATACAACAATTTAGAGGATCCATAGAGTATAAATTGAAATGAAAGGTGAAGCTTTGTTGCCCAAAAGCAAGAAAAATAGGGTGATCATGATCAACAAAAATAATTACTATCACTATCACAATCACTATCACCATACAGTATATTAACAAACTATCAGAGCTTCTGTACTATTTTAATTCCTTGTTGACATCTCTTACATTGGCCTCTCTTGGTTTTTGATGAACATTTAAAAAGACAAGTTATTCTTGTCTCATTTTTATTTATCTATTACTTACAAGTCTACCTGATCATTAAAACTATAAAATTACTTTTTGTATTATACAATAAAAATTCTTGCATAATTCTCTTATTCTATTAACCTTTCAAGTACATTATTTACAGTGATTAATTATCAAACGTAAATGGCAAAGTAGAATAACTCCTCTCAGTAGAATACAAATTAATAGAGCCCTGGCCAGGACCAGAACACTTGACCAAATGGTCCAGATGTTCAAAAATCTGGTAAAAATAATCTTCCTTATTAAAACTTTTACTCTTTTTGCCCTGATATGCCCAGGTGCAGAGAAGATTTTTAAAGAAATAATGCATTTTTATTACAGATTCACTATATTATGTGATTATCCCCCCCCCCCAGCAAGAAACACCAGAGCCTCTCACCCTGGGACCGGAAGTTTGCTCATCATAAGTAATCTTTGTAAACTTTATTTATCTGCTTAACAATAAGAGCAAACAGAATTATTTAATAGAATTAATGCATTTTCACTATTTATCAAGAGCCCCACCCTTACACCAGCACATCTGACCCAGGGGTCATGTAATTCACTACTCTGGAAGAAGCATTCTTGCTCATCATAACTATACACTAAGCTTCTCTGCTTTTTAACTAGGAGCAGAAAAGAATATTTTCAAAGAAATTTTGCTTTTTCACTATATAATTAATATAGTCCCCTCCCCCCTTTTCACCAGAACCCTTGACCCTGGGGCCATAAAATTCATAATTTTGGAAGAGGCATCTTTGCGTATCATAACAATGTACTTAATTTGTTTAAATAATACTAAGGAGTAGAGAAGATTTTCAAAGAAATAATTCACCTCACTATAGGATCTATATAGCCCCACCCTAACACCAGAACCCATGATCCTTGGGCCATGAATTTCACAATTTTGGAAGAGGCATCCTTGCTTATCATAATAATGTACTTAGTTTGTTTAAATAATACCCAGGAGTAGAGAAGAAGATTTTTAAAGCATAAATGCATTTTCGCTATATAATAAATAGAGCCCCGCCCTAACACCAGGAACCCTGATCCAGGGGCCATGAAATTCACAAATTTGGAAGAGGCATCCTTGTTTATCATAACTATGTATTTAATTTGTTTAAATAATACCCAGGAGTAGAGAATAATGCACTTTCACTATAAGATCTATATAGTCCCGCCCTAGCACCAGAACCCTTGACCCCGGGGCTATGAATTTCACAATTTTGGTAGAGTCACTCTTGCTTATCATAACTATGTATTTAATTTGTTAGGTCACCTGAGTCACTCAGGTGACCTATTGCTATCCGTTTTTGTCCGTCGGCGTGCGTCGTGCGACGTGCGTCGTGCGATGTGCGTTAACATTTGAACATTTTTAGCTTCTTCTCTGAGACCGCTCAACCAATTTCAACCAAAGTTGGCAAATCGCATCAATGGGTGAAGGGGAACAAAATTGTGGATTTCATGATCTCTGCCCCCCTGGGGACTGAGGGGTGGGGCTAAAACCACCAAAATTAATGCAATCTTTAAAAATCTTCTTCTTTACTCCTGGACATCAAGCAGCCAAACTGATGGCATGATTGTAATAAGCATTGACCCCTCTACCAAAATTGTGAAATTCATGGCCCCAGGGTCAGGGGTTCTGGTGCTAGGGAGGGGTTATATAGATTATAAAGTGAAAATGCATTATTTCTTTGAAAATCTTCCTCTCTGCTCCTGGGTATTAAATAAACTAACTAAGTATATAGTTATGATGAGTAAGAGTGCCTCTTCCAAAATTGTGAAATTCATGGCCCCAGGGTCAGGGGTTCTGATGTTAGGGCGGGGCTCTATTGATTATATAGTGAAAATGCATTAGTTCTTTGAAAATCTTCTTCTCTGCTCCTGGGTATTAACTACAGTAACTAAGTACATAGTTATGATAAGCAAAAGTGCCTCTTCCAAAATTGTGAACTTTATGGCCCCAGGGGCAGGGGTTCTGGTGTAAGGGAGGGGCTCTATTGATTATATAGTGAAAATGCATTAATTCATTGAAAGTCTTCTTCTCTGCTCCTGGGTATTAAATAAAGTAACTAAGTACATAGTTAGGATGAGCAAGAGTGCCTCTTCCAAAATTGTGAATTTTATGGCCCCAGGGGCAGGGGTTCTGGTGTTAGGGCGGGGCTCTATTGATTATATAGTGAAAATGCATAAATTCTTTGAAAATCTTCTTCTCTGCTCCTGGGTATTAAATAAAGTAACTAAGTACATAGTTAGAATGAGCAAGAGTGCCTCTTTCAAAATTATGAATTTCATGGCCCCAGGGGCAGGGGTTCCGGTGTTAGGGCGGGGCTCTATTGATTATATAGTGAAAATGCCTTAATTCTTTGAAAATCTACTTCTCTGCTCCTGGGTATTATTGAAACAAATTAAATACATAGTTTTGATAAGCAAGGATGCCTCTTCCAAAATTGTGAAATTCGTGGCTCCTGGATCAGGGGTTCTGGTGTTAGAGCGGGGCTCTATTGATTTAATGTGAAAATGTTTTAATTCTTTAAAAATCTTTTTCTCTGCCCCTGGGTATTATTCAAACAAACAAAGTACATTGTTATGATAAGCAATGATGCCTCTTCCAAAATTGTGAAATTCATGGCCCCGGGGACAGGAGTTCTGGTGCTAGGGCGGGCTATATAGATCCTGTAGTGAAGGTGAATTATTTCTTTGAAAATCTTCTTCTCTGCCCCTGGGTATTGTTTAAACAAACTAAGTACATTGTTATGATAGGCAAGGATGCCTCTTCCAAAATTGTGAATTTTATGACCCCAGATTTAAGGGTTCTGGTGAGGGGCGGGGGGGGGGGCTTCTATTGATTATAAAGTGAAAAAGCAAAATTTATTTGAAAATATTCCTTTCTGCTTCTGGTTAAAAAAGCAATGAAGCTAAGTGTATAGTTATGATGAGCAAGAGTGCTTCTTCCAGAGTAGTGAATTTCATGACCCCTTGGTCAGATGTGCTGGTGTGAGGGTGGGGCTCTTGATAATATAGTAAAAATGCATTAATTCTATTAAATAATCCTGTTTGCTCCTTGGTGTTAAGCAGATAAACAAAGTGATTAGTTATGATGAGCAAACTTATGGTCCCAGGGTCAGAAGCTCTCGTGTTGGGGGGGGGGGGGGGGCTCTATTGACAATATAGTGAATCTGTAGTAAAAATGTATTATTTCTTTAAAAATCTTCTCCGCACCTGGGCATTTCAGAGGCAAAAAGATTAAAAGTTTTAATAAGGAAGATTATTTTTACCAGATTTTTGAACATCTGGACCATTTGGTCAAGTGTTCTGGTCCTGGCCAGGGCTCTATTATTTTGTATTCTACTGAGAGGAGTTATTCCCCTTTGCCATTTACTTTTGATAATTTATCACTGTAAATAATGTACTTGAAAGGTAAATAGAATAAGATAATTATGCAAAAACTTTTATTGTATAATAAAAAAAGTACTTTCATAGTTTTAATGATCAGATAGACTTGTAAGTAGTAGATAAATAAAAATGAGACAAAAATAACTTGTCTTATTAAATGTTCATCAAGGACCAAGAGAGGCCAATGCAAGAAATTTCAACAAAGGATTAAAATAGTACAGAAACATTGATAATTTGTTAATATACTGTATGGTTGTAGTGATAAATGGGGATCAGATTTATAGAACATAATTTATAAACTGTTAATGAATATTAAGACCAATTATTTTGTTGATCATGTTACCCTATTTTTCTTGCTTTTTGGCAACAAAGTTTCACCTTTCAGTTCATTTTATACTCTATGCATCCTTTAAATTGTTGTATCATACTCAGGTGACCGTTTAGGCCCTTAGGTCTCTTGTTTAAATAATACCCAGGAGTAGAGAAGAAGATTTTCAAAGAAATAATTTACTTTCACTATATGATCTATATAGCCCCGCCCTAGCACCAGAACCCCTAACCCTGGGGCTATGAATTTCACAATTTTGGTAGAGTCACCCTTGTTTATCATAACTATGTATTCAATTTGTTTCAATAATACCCAGTAGTAGAGAAGAAGATTTTCAAAGAAATAATGCACTTTTACTATATGATCTATAAAGCCCCGCCCTAGCACCAGAACCCCTGACCCTGGGGCCATGAATTTCACAATTTTGGTAGAGGGCTCAATGCTTATTACAATCATGCCAACAGTTTGACCGCTTGATGTCCAGGAGTAAAGAAGAAGATTTTTAAAGATAGCACTAATTTTGATGGTTTTAGCCCCACCCATCAGGCACAAGGGGGGCAGGGACCATGAAATTCGCAATTATTGTACCCCTTCACCCATTGATGCTATATGCCAAAATTGGTTGAAATTGGTTCATTGGTTCAAGAGAAGAAGCTGAAAATGTTCAAAAGTTTACGACCGACGGACGACGCACGACGGACGATGATGGACGAAAACGGATAGCAATAGGTCACCTGAGTGACTCAGGTGACCTAAATAAAAATTTGTCCCTTAGGTGGTATAAAAAATCTTTAATTATGATAACTGCTTGATTTAATGAAAAATATCTAAGCTTTTAATATGATAGAATTATTTAAATTATATGAAATAAAAGACAAATTCCTAATTTTACTACTAATCACATTACAGTGAAACAAGTTATTTATAAAAATATCTTTAAAACTTTAGACTTATTTATTCATTTCACTCAGTCCTTCATATATACAATTTAATCCATGAAAGAGAGTGAAATGTCTGATAAAATATTTATGTTACTCATTTACACTAGTACACAAACTCTCAAACTTGCATTCACCATTCAAACACCTTTTCACTCACACAATCAAATTCACAATCATACAAAAATATTAAGAACAGACCTGGAATCCTGGAATTAAATACTCAAAGACAATGTAGTAAACTGTTACACCCAAAATAGTGAATTCAGAAAACTGACGATACATCATCCAAGACATCCTGTCAACCTAAACACAAAGACTGATATGACCAGTTCTACCCAAAAATACACTGCACACAAATTAAGAGATTTCCCTCCAAAACTTCGACCAATGAAATCTCATTGAGGGGTCACTTCATAGGTCACTGTCATCTTAAAGTTAATTACTATAAGGGAAACATATTTATAAATACTAAAGTAATTCCTAAATAATTCTATAGCATCTAAATTACTATGTTCCTTAAATAAATTATAAACTGCTAAAATATAAAGAAGTAAATTATATAAATATCCTGTAAATAATGATATCTAATTATTATGTTGACAATAATGTTACACTTGTCAAATAAACACGAAATCCTATGATACTAACAATATATACACTTTTCAAATATTTACACTTAATTACATATTCCCCCAGGTGGAAAATGACGTTCTCGTCATTCTAACCATAGTCATTGATATTGAGTACTGTTGCTGCAACTATCCTCTCCATCCCTGAAAATAAAAATCGAGTTTGAAACAAGATTTTGTGTACAGTGATTTTCTCTTCCCATTGGGGACTGCACCGCCTACTTTATAGTGAATCTACCTGAAAAATACCACACTGATGGTCTCTTAATGGTACTGATGTTTCAGGTAAGGGTACCTCTTCCTGAACATCTTCAGTTTCTGTCTCTTTATTTTCTTTAGCATCTTCCTAATTGTCTTGTACTACTTCTTCTTTCTTCTGTATAATCTATTCGTTCTCTTGTATATCCTGTGATTTCTCTGCTTAACCTACTGATTAGGATTCTCCTCCTCATCCTTCTTTAAAAATATTCTTGAACTGATATTTAACCTCATATGTCTCATCTTCAGAAGAATCTTCATGATATGACTGGGAATAAATCACTGAGTTTTACTCCATCTGCGATATCTTTCTTTATTGTCAGCCTGGTTCGCGGCTTAGGAATGAGTTTATCCTGAAGTAAAAAAATCGTTGATTCTGATGATTATTCAATGGTAAAAAATAAATTTCTATGTAAGTTTCTCTTTTTTCCTAAACTATCTTCTCTTATAACTGTAAAAACTGGGATGTCATTGTTAGGTTGATCTAATATTATATAAGGGGTATCGTCCCACTTATCTGAAATTTCCTTGAAATGCAAAATTTTTTACAAACACTCTGTCTCCTCTTTGTAACATTTTGTTTATTCCCCTCGCCTTGTTGTCGTATGTTGTCTTCTGTCTAATTTCTCCTTGGCATTTTTCTCTGCCAATTTATATGCACTAGCAAGCTTTTCCCTCAATTAACTGATGTACTTTGTCTTACAATCTTGATTTTCTTTACTTATTTACCGTTCACAGTAACTCAGTCGGTAGAGTGCTCGCTCCGTGATCGGGAGGTCGTGAGTTCGAATCTCGGCAGCGACTGACCTAAGACGATAAAAAATGTGTAGCAACTGTTCCTTCGCCATGCGCTGGTACTTTGAAGTGAAAGTTGTAGGTCCTTCGGATGATACCTTAAAGACCGAGGGCCTGTGTCACGGTAGGCGTTGGCAAGATCCCGTACTGCTCAATGGCCCTGAGTGCCGAGTAAAGGTCAAAGTTTGAAGCCTTTACCGGTATATGTTGACGTCTCTATATGAGTGAAAAATTCTCGAACGGGACGTAAAACAACATACAATCAATCAATCTTTCCCTATTTGAAAAGCTCTTACTATTGTTTTAGCTGTTTTATTGTGAGTTGAAATGCATAGCGAGTAAAATGGTCAGTTATGATGATTATGTTTTCCTCTCCTCACTTAAATTTTCCCAGACAAAGAAATTACATACCTAGATACATACATACCTACAAGTTGTAAAGGAAAACATGTTTCAATATATATCAGTGGAGTTCGTTGGTTTACTGGTGTTTTTCTCTTAACGCATCTTCCACATGAATGTATCCAACATTTTCATCTCTGTCTCTTCCTGGCCAGTAAAATCTCTCGCGTACTGATGATTATGTTCTATCTTTTCCTGGGTGGCCCATATCATTGTGCAGTGCTTTCAATACTCTATTTATATGATCAAATGGTAGAAATAATTATACCCGCACTTTCTAAAGAAAGTTCGGGTATATTGTTGTTACTCCGTCCGTCTGTCACACTCTTTTTTTCTTAAACTCCTTTTACATTTTACACAGAAGCCTAATCATCTTTTGGGAGATGGTTGGTTGTGTCATGTAGATATGCAGTAAGGTTTCGGAATTTTCATTTTCACCCTGGGGGTCAAATTGGGGTCGAAAAATGGCGTTTTTTATGCAAAAAGC